TAAGTGATACATGATCCAAATCAACTAACCCATGTCCGATCATCACGTGAGATGGGGTAGTCATCAATGGTGAACATCTCTATGTTGATCATATCAATTATATGACTCACGTTCGAACTTCTGGTGTCAAGTGTTCTGAGACCATGTGTGTACATACTAGGCTCGTCAAGTTTAACCCAAGTATTCTGCATGTGCAAAACTTTCTTACACCCATTCTATGTGAATGTACAGTCTATCACACCTGATCATCACGAGGTGCTTCAAAACGATGAACTTTAGCAATGGTCCATACTCGGGGAGAACACTTTTATCTTGAAATTTAGTGAAGGGGTCATCTTATAATGCTACCGCCATTCTAAGCAAAATAAGATGCATAAAGGATAAACATCACACGCAATCAAAATATGTGACATGATATGACCATCATCATCTTTTGCTTTTGATCTCCATCTCTAAAGCATCATCATGATCTCCATCATTACTGGCTCGACACCTTGATCTCCATCACTGCGTCGGCGTCGTCTCGCCAACTATTGCTTCTACAACTATTGCTAACGCATAGTGATAAAGTAAAGCAATTACATGGCCCTTGAATTTCATACAATAATTAAGAGACAACCCTAAGGCTCATGTCGGTTGTCGATATTACAAAACATGATCATCTCATACAATAACGTATATCACATCACGTCTTGACCATATCACATCACAACATGCCCTGCAAAAACAAGTTAGACGTCCTCTACTTTGTCGTTGCAAGTTTTACGTGGATGCTACGGACTTCTAGCAAGAACCGTTCTTACCTATGGGAAAAACCACAACGGTGACTTATCAAGTTTGTTGTTTTAACCTTCTTCAAGGATCGGCCGTAGTCAAATTTGATTCAACTAAAGTAGGAGAAACAGACACCCGCCAGCCACCTTTATGCAAAACAAGTTGCATGTCAGTCGGTGGAATCGGTCTCATGTGCGTGGACATGTAAGGTTGGCCTGGGCTGCTTCATCCCGCAATACTGCTGAATCAAAATAAGACGTTGGTGGTAAGCAATATGACTATCACTGCCCACAACTCTTTTTGTTCAACTCATGCACATCATCTACGCATAGACCTGGCTCTGATGCCACTGTTGGGAAACCTTGCATGGAAAACAAAACAATTTCTACGCACACGCAAGATCTATCCATGGAGATGCATAACAATGAGGGGAGAGTGTGTCTGTGTACCCTCATAGACCATAAGCGTAAGCGTTTAGTAACGTGGTCGATATAGTCGAACTACTTCGCGATCCAACCGATCAAGTACCGAACGTACGGCACCTCCGCGTTCAGCACACGTTCAACTCGGTGACGGCCTTGCCTTCTTGATCCAGCAAGACGGGCGAAGTAGTGGACGAGCTCCGACAACACGGTGGCATGGTGACGATGATGGTGATGCTATCTCCGCAGGGCTTCGCCTAAGCACAACGAAAATATGACCGAGGGACGAAACTGTGGAGAGCGGCGCCGCACACGGCAAAGAGATTGTCGTGGTTATGTGTGGCACCCCCTCCCACATATATATAGGTGGGGGAGAGGAGCAGCCAGGAGGCACCCCAAGTAGGGCCGAATCATACTTAAGCTCCTGCCCTGGCTGCGTCACCCCTTACCCTATATGCCGGAGAGGGAAGGAAGGGGGAAGCCGTATCCCCCTCCTTTCCTTTCTCCCACAGGCCGGCGGCCATAGCGGGTGCGCTAGCCCCTTGTTGGCTGGTGTCCTCCTCTCTAATGTCCCAATAGGCCCATCACCCTCCCAGGGGTGTCCGATATCCCCTTCGATAATCCGATGACCACCGGGTGCACTCCGATACTCTTCTGGTGTCCGAATATCATCGTCCTATATATCAATCTTTACCTCCGGCTCATTCCAGAGCTCCTCGTCATGTTTGTGATCTCATCCGGGACTCCGAACAACATTCGGTCACCAAATCATATAACTCATATAACACTATATCGTCAACGAACGTTAAGCGTGCGAACCCTACGGGTTCGAGAACTATGTAGACATGACCGAGACACCTCTCCGGTAAATAACCAATAGCTGAACCTGGATGCCCATATTGTTTCCTACATATTCTACGAATATCTTTATCGGTCGAACCATTATGACAACATACGCAATCTCTTTGTCTGTCGGTATGTTACTTCCCCGAGATTCGATCGTCAGTATCTTCATACCTAGTTCAATCTCGTTACCGACAAGTCTCTTTACTCGTTTCATAATACATCATCTCGTAACTAACTCCTTAGTCATTTTCCTTGCAAGCTTATTATGATGTGTATTACCGAGAGGGCCCAGAGATACCTCTCCGATACTCGGAGTGACAAATCCCAATCTCAATCCATGCCAACTAAACAAACACCTTCGGAGATACCTGTAAAGCATCTTTATGATCACCCAGTTACATTGTGACGTTTGATAGCACACAAGGTATTCCTCCGGTATCCGAGAGTTGCATGATCTCATGGTCGAAAGAACATGTATTTGTTAATCAAGAAAGCGGTAGCAATAAACTGAACGATCATATGCTAAGCTTAAGGGTGGGTCTTGTCCATCACATCATTCTCCTAGTGATGTGATCCCGTTATCAAATGACAACACATGTCTATGGTTAGGAAACCTGAACCATCTTTGATTAATGAGCTAGTCTAGTAGAGGCTTACTAGGGACATGGTATTTGTTTATGTATTCACACATGTATTTAAGTTTCTGATCAATACAATTCTAGCATGAATAATAAACATTTATCATGAATAAGGAAATATAAAATAATAACTTTATTATTGCCTCTAGGCCATATTTTCTTCACTATATCTAGCATGCATATAAAAAGTTTTAAGTAAAACTGAGTATTGCAATAAGTTTGAGGACATGAATTACATCATATATTGTCAAGGAATTGTGAAACATAGTTATCAACCGCCTCATATACTAGTCAAAGGATGCATGTCGTCACAACCATATCAGTTAGGAACCACTAGAACAATCATCATACAATATATATAGATTCACAAACAAGTCATATTGGTGATATTGTTCAAGAGCAGTACAAATAACTAATGAATACATAAGGAAAATCATCATCAATTGCTTGACTCTAGGGCATATCTCCAACATAAGGTCTCCTTGACTCCCCATTTACCTTACTGCAATACCTCGACAAAATCCACCAGTTCACCCATGGATTCCTTGTTGTTGCGCCTAGGATCTAGAACAACCTCACATACCAACACTAGTCTTTTGTGTGCACTTTGTTCTCACTCGTGCGCAGCCGGGATCAGCTTCTCATTCGGTCACCCATCCTCATAGTGCTCCAAGCCAAGCACACTTAACTTTGAGGTTCCATTGGATGGGCTCCAGGAAAAAAGTGCTCGTTGTTTATATGAGTAGTCTGTCATTCTATTAAGCCAGGATGCCACACTCATCACCGGCGGTCTCACCAGCAGCATAGAGGATGGCGGGAGATCATCTGGTCACTGTTTTCCAAGGCCTATTCCAGTGGAGTGGAAGGCGTTGCTTTTTTATGCCTTGGTCCTCTAACTTCTTCAAAGAAGAATGCTCGATCAGTTTCAGCATCGTCAGGGAACTTATAAGTCCCCCTGAATCTGCTCGGCGGAATCTAGGGTTGTCGTCAACATTATTCGTCGCCTTCTTCTCCACGATGGCAGTCTGTTTTCCAGATCATTGTCATTGGTGTATTATTGCTTCAAATTTCACAGGGTTTTATAACTTTGTCATGCTCGGATTGGCCCATTACTATTTCAGCCCATACGGCCCGTCGTTCCTACACTTTGCCATCATGTTAGACACCTCTTTCGTTGCCACTACCGACCCCACATGACAAAAATGCATTATGTTTGTGCTACCTTTTTTTACCAATGTTTTAACTCGCTCATGGTATATATTATCCACTTTCTACCCACCACATCTGTGTCATATGACTGTTTATGGGTTTCTAAAGGAGCTTGCAAAAGTAAAACCATGTGAAAGAGGATCATGCACAACATTTATTACATTTTCCTAGACTGGGGATGAGCATGTCAAATCAATTCGAGCAAGGACGGAACCAGTCCCATACAATGTAAATAAAGAATAACTTCAAATGAGGTCCACCTTTTGTAACTTTGTCATGATATCTTATGGATGCGCTTCAATATTTATTTCTCTAAAATCTAGTGATGACACCTCATCAAGTATATTTTTATAGATATTTCATGTTTGGCTCTCGTTGGGGACCACTTCACGCTACATGGTAATGATATCTTCTGCACGCACATTCATATATCTATATCTTTTGATTTTATATAGCGTCCCTATGATTCTCCCCGGGTACCACCTCTTGGTACCTGCCCACTAAATCTTTTGGGCGGCAATTCGGTGCCCGAGCTTAAATGCTCCCGAAATCATCAGCGTCCATTCTTCGCTTGGGATCCGAACAATTCCGTCTGATGCGGAGAAAATCAGGAAAAGGGACGTACAGCGGCCATATTGTATGGAACAGTAGCGGGTTTGTGGGCCCAAAACGTATGGTTTACGTTCCGCCGCACGAGGCCGTCTGGTCTATGGATCAGAATGTTGCCTTTCGTGATGAGCCAGGGACAGAACGTTACCGTGACCAGAGTTCACCCCCCTCCTGCCTCTCCCCAGATCCGATTGCGTTAGGGCCTGCGGCGGCTGTCGAAGCCCGGCGAATTCGTGATAGAAGATGCTGGCCTTGAGCTCTTGCTGGATTTGGTCGATCGGTAAGTGGATCTTTCCTCCGTTCTAAGCAGATTGCTCATTTCTTGGGTAAGTGGACATACGGATTGAGAAAGCTGATTCAGAGGACTGGCCATGCGCCATTGCCGTGGGATTTCAGGTTACCCCACTGGAGGAGTTCGCCGACAGTTTTGAAAGCCCAGATCTGGCCCCTCTGGCATTGTTAATGCCAGACCAAACCAACCCTGCCATTCAGGCGGACTCGAATGCTGCTCTGGATGCAGGCAATAAGTTGGCGTCGGCGGGCCGGGGAGGCCGCACTGTGGAGAGCGGTGGCGTCGGGAGGCATCTCCGACTGTCCGCGCAGCCAAGGTCAACCCAAAGGCGCCTGGTTGGACAAAGATGTACGTCACCTAATTCCATTACCTGTGTAACTGTATGTGTTCGAAAACGAGTACATGTTCATGTGCTCAGTCATGCTTGATATGGTCTAGTTCTATTTTGTACGACTGCAACCTGCCGATATGATGAAGTTAGCTGAACCCTGATAGTACTTGTTACTGATCGCTATTTGTTTAATATGCTTAGCGGGCAAATATGTCAGCAATTGTGTTGCATCTGAAAACCGTCCAAAATAAATTGTTTGTTTACAAAATTCAGGTTACGCCTCCGTAATGTGCCACCTGACCGGACGCCATGTCCTTCTAGGATGAGTGCACTAGAGCAGTCAATTTGCAAATGTGCAGAAGAGACTACGAAAAGTGTAATTAGACTGGAACTCGTCTGAGTTTTGATTCACTGGGCGAGACGTGCGACCTCTACAACTTGTATCCGTGGGAGATCGGATTTGAAATTCGGTATGGCAAAACCAGACTGAACGCCGAGAGGACACAGTCAATGCAAGAAATCCTTTGCAGCTGCTCGGTGTATTCTGAATTCTGCTTAGTGGTTATGCCATTTGATTTATTTATTTTTTTGCTTGACTGTACATGCAGGGGAAGCCGGAGGCGGAGAATAGTAGATCTTGCAGATGCGAGTGCCCTGCATTGATAAGGCTCTTGCCGACAGCTGATAACAGTTGGTACATGACAGAGCACTGTGAGGGGCACAACCATTCCATGTCTCTAACGATGGGAGAGGGCGATATATATCGACGTCTATTATTAAAGATTTGCTAAAGCAATTAAGGGAAAACAATGTCAACCTCTGAAAGGTGCACAACATCATAGACAACTTCGTCGGCCGATGATGACGCAAGGAAGACTCTGGAGGTCTTCGCAGCATTGTCGCCGGGGACCTTTACTTCACATACTGAGTTTTGGCAGACAGTGATAGCAGGGTGAAGAACTTTGTTTGATGTGGACTAATGCAAGAGCAGAATGCAGTACCGGTTCTTCGGGGATGTGATAATCTTCGAAACAACATATAGGACCAACCTCTATGACATGACGTTTGGGCTATTGGTGAACAATCATTTTTAAAGCATTATCCTGGCTGGGGTACTGATATGCTACTTTATAAATACAATTTGAGGACGATGGGGAACACAGAAGGCGGTGACACCCGAGCAAGTATAGAGGTTCAGGTATGGCCGGAATCATAAGTTGTTTCCTTCTACTAGATTCCTCTGTAAATACCTGCTTGACGGTCACATCTCTGCAGTTCCCGAACACGTCGAGCTTGGGGTCGACAGCGAGCACTTGGAGCACGAACTTGACGCCGGAGCAAGGAGGCCATGGCGTCGACGAGGTGAGCGGAAATATTGGTTCTGTTGTGCTGTCTGTTGGTCTCCCGAACTGGGAGAGGTGATACAGCCGGAACTCTCTTCAGAGAAGATTTTGAAGCTAACTGGATGATAGGGCCAGAGATGATACCCTTGAAGGATTCAGCAAGCATGACCCAGCTGCCGTCGGGTTGGCCAGCTAAGATGGTGTAAGACTCTGATGTGGACAACGGGTCACGCGTGATGTACGTGGCCGGAGAGGTTGATTCCGGTGGAGTAGAGGGAGTTGAGCAAAGTACTGTGTTTACTCTGCTCCCGTTGTGTAAGATGGGCACACCATCTTCAACAGTTTGTTGTAGTGTGTGTGCGGTGTGCTTGAGGTCGCAGACAAAAAGAAAACTCGTCGAGTGTGATTACGTCATGATTTATATGAAGGGAAACTCTAGTTTGTGCTTGTAAAACCCAGTGGCTGAGTACGCGCACAGTTGCATCTCGTTGACTGTAAAGTTTTTAAATCTAACCAAAATTGTTTTTTTACAAGATTGTGCTCATTAGCAATTAATTAATGTTGGGGCACTCGATTAACTATGCGTGAGTAGTGGTTAGATAGTTGGCAGAGGTCCAGTAGAGGTCATTTGGTTTTCAGTTTAAATTTTTTGCTTTGCCTCGGACTAAAAAAGGTTGTTGCATTTGGAATGGAGACGGCTCATACTCGCACAGGAAAAAGACTGAGCCGTGACCGCAATTTCTGTTCCGCCTCTTTGTCAATAGCTGTCGTTGCATTTAATGCACCCAGGAGCTGTATTTATTTTCTTACCATACATCTGCTATACAGAGAGGAATACATGGCCCGACACATCCACATGCTAGCTGATGGGGGAAATTTCTGGAGCATCTGAGCCTGGGCTCAGAAACGAATATCCGCTTTTGGATACACTATTTAGTTTCGAATATCCGCTTTTGGATACACTATTTAGTTTCTTCCCCTCAGAATTTAGAGATGGAACGTCATTCCATATCCTTTTGATTTAGTATATCATTGACACTATAAATTATCACCTGGGACAAGTTAGGATGTAGAATTCAGGAATGGACGGAAGATCTGCCTTCGCCTGTATTTTGGTGATACTTGTGTTGTTAGGAAGCACTACTTATGCAGGTTTGTTCTCTCTTTTGTTGTTTTCGATTAGATTGCCTCGGGCATAATTTATTTCAAAGGATTAACCTAGAAATATCAACATAACATTTTAAGAGAATATTGACTTTGGATTTTTAAAATATGTTGCTGAAGCACATTATTGTATTTTTATTAGCCTTTTGCCAGTTTGAAACTTCTATGCAATGGTGTAACAAGTTGTGCATATCACGGAAAACTTTCTTACTATTATAGTGTGACTTTTATTATCGTTGTGGTACACAGAGAATTGTAAGTGGGAACGCTATCTGCTCGCGCTCTGCACCGAATGATCATGCAAAAAGATATGCTCATTAGACTGGGGTGACAAGGTCCGCCAGCTTCGATGTGATAGGGTAATCGATGGCTTTTGCGACTGCAAGATTTGTTTCCTCAAATAGAACTTATATTGAACTATGCTAAGTGGACTTGAAGTTATTAATAATAATTCATCATATACTGTTTCGGACTGAATTACTTATGCATGAGACTGTATGCCTTTGATCTAGAGGAAGGTAATATGCATAATCAATTTGTTCTCATAGAAATCTTCTATATCTTATATCTAAATAGGGGCACCCCACTAGATGATTTTTCTGTCTTCTCATGAAGCCACATCACTCCAATTGTTACAGCCGTTGATTTAGTAAAGTCGAGAAGTCCGCAGCCGTTTGATCAAAGGTTCAGAAAATTACTAAGCAGTGCCACCGCTAAGTATACCGTTTCGTTCTTTATTCGCTCGCTGCTGACCCACTCAACTTTTTGGGCTGGGCGTACAGTTCAGCGATTTGGAGGCTAAAACGTCCATTGGAAGCCCATGGGTAGACTACCACGAACCACCCTTTCGTGAAGAAACCTTGCCTAAAGAAACGCTTGCGTGACCGGCCACCGCCAGCCGCTCCGACCTGCGCCTTCTGTCTTCCCCACGAAGAGGGCTCCACTTTCTCTCTGTCTTCTTCAATCTCCATCAAATCCCACTATTAATTTGCAATAGAAACGGTTCCTTCTCCCTTCATTAAATCCCACTATTCTGGCGATTCAATTGCTTATCCCATCCGGTATTTCGTTTTAGTCGTGCTCGAGGCGATGAGCGATGGTGAGAGGTCTTCCTCCCCAGTGACCAGATCCCTCGGCGGTCGTCCCCGCTCTGCCTCCGGCTTCCCGACGGTAGGCGCACCCTGCACGGGAAGCTTTTCACAAATACTATGTTCGTAATGTTTAAATTTTTACCTACCGTCCCAAGAGGATGCTGCCGCGCCGAGATCGGCCCGACTATTACCTTGCGGAGGCGCGCCGGCGGCCTCGACAGAAGGCCGGGAAGACTCCCTGTGGCAGCAGCGAACCGTGCTCGGTGCCGGCGCGTCTCGCGTGTCCTCTGCTCACCTTCCTGACCACACGACAGGGCCGCAGGGCCAGTACAACGTCGACTGTGATTCACTAGCCCAAGTTTTTTATGAGCGTGTAAATCATCGTCTTGACTCTTGAACGCCCGCCCTGACAGCGTTCAGCCGGACGCGGCCGGCTGGCTGTGCCGTGCACAACTACACTGCTGCACATCGCGGGTTGTATAAGACTTCTGCATGGGCGTGGCGTCGAGGGGAGATCACGCGTGCAAGATAGCTGCTGATGGTCTCATCCTCCAGCATCACAACGACCTTGGAATTGAATGGGTGCATCAGCAGGATGCTTGACGACCTCCACTTGCACATCGATGTCCCGGTACGACAAGATATACATGAGTCGATATATTTTCCCATTTGTTTCAGATTTTGCTGAACCCACCTATTGATTTGAATCCCAAACCAAGAATCAACCTCACGTCATCCATTTGCCAAAGCTGGAGGCCGTGGCATCTGACAGTACATGCACTTGCGTCAGAATTACAATACATGCTGTTTCATCTACTTAAGTGATGTGTTATAATCCATGACAACAAATTTACCATTGTTGATTCAAGATACTTAGGTTGCTCGAAAGATGTTTGATGACGTGACTCTTCTACTATCTACCAAATTAAAGAGGATTAAGAAGGTAATAATGTTTACTGTTCTTTGTGTTAAGATTTACTCCGTTTGTATCGATTGAATTAGTGCCGAGAAAATAAACGATTCAATCAGATTAACCCTATGTCTATCCAATATACTTCTGTCAACTAGACAATGCAATATCGTTGAGTCAGATTCATGAAATCCTTTATTTGCCTCAAGTATAGCATCCATAGTTTAGCAGTAGTAATATTCTTTTGTCAATTTTTCCAAACAGATATATGCAACAACAAAAAGCTGAATTAAAGGAGACACAAACATCAACAGAAGGAAATATGGGAGGAAGCTTTTCACAAATACTATGTTCGTAATGTTTAAATTTTTGCCTCAGACAACCTCCCTCTCATATTTATTGCACTGTTTAGACAAGAAATTTGGAGAAAGTGAATATAAGATTGGTTATGTTATTTCAGCCCCTATATAATATGTGCATGTGGCACTCAAGTATCAAACCTGCCGATTGTACCTCTTATTTTAGGGGCACCTACAGGTTGTAGTTAGCGTGACTAGGTCTGGCTATTTCCTCCATCGCAATTTTTTATTGTATAACCTTCATATCGAATGGAGAAAAGGGATGATGGTAAAAGAAGGTTCTTAATTGAAGAAAAATGTTATTCCACAATAAATAAAGATATGTGTTCAATCTGAATGATAATTATAAACTTTACGGTTTTATTCTTAAAGTAATTTTTTTGCTCAACTTCCCGACGCAACGCGCGGGGTATCTACTAGTACTTCTTAATGGTGAGTCTCATACAACTAAGAAAAAAAATAGATAATGGAAGAGCAACCTATTATTGTTGTGGTTGTTGTTATGGCACCAAACAATTGGCGTAGAGATAAGCATTCATTGTTTGTGTGAACCACCCATAAGGTTATTTATATAGCCTAAGCACCCTTGTGCGGCACAAAGAGGGATATTTTCCGAATGGGCCCGAGGCGTTGTATATGGAACTTCACAATAAGAAACTTGCTGATCTAACACAGTTTTTTCCTATGGTGGAAGTATGAATTTTAGCCTCCAGAGCACTTTCACCATGAACTACCAATCGTGATCGAATATACCATGGATCACAAGTTTTTGTGGCATATGGGATGGCATATACCACGACAACAAAGTATGTGGTGCATATGATTTCACATCTACCACATAATTGTTTTTTGTGGTAGATATATCTTGAATCTAGAAAATTTACTAAAGTAGGATTTAACTTTCATCTTGCTAAAAACATTAAT